CTGATTCATGATACGTAAGCACTTAGCTATTCGACAAATTTCGCTTCATGCTAATCACCAGAGCATTGCTCCTCTTGTTACTAATGATGCTGCATGAGCAGGTACTTTATATCCGAATTTATGAAAACTATTGATATGCATTAGATCCTTCATATATCCATTTTCACTATTTTGCTTCATTTTTGTTTTTTCCCAATATCACTTATATATTTATTATCTAATTTATCAATAGGCATTCTCTTTCATCTGTGCTCAAATATGAAAATCCCTGGGTGATACTGCTTCAATAATAAACTATCATTCTCGCTTTCACTTCATCCACTGCCCTAGTTACTCATGCCTGCAGAATATTTATTATTACAATCATATTTTTGCATACATTTATAGGGCGCGGTGGCACAGCGGCTTAAGTCGGCTTTGAAATCCGGAGATGCTGTATTAGAATCCGCTAGAGGAATAATCTTTGTCTTAACCTGCACTACTGGTTCCTGAATGTAAGGAGCTGAGAAATGGGTGGTAAGCCTAGGACTTTTGAATAACATGCACAGTATCGTATTCCGGACTGGTCATACCAGAATTGAGGAAATGTGTATGGCTCCGCACTCCAATGGGAACGCCCCTGTGGCTGCATTTTGTCTTGGCCCATAAATAGCTGAATATCAAGAGTAATAATCAGGATAACACCGATTTCTCATTTCGTACTTCCGATACACGTATCCATTCGGTCGTGTTGATAATGTACATTCCAAAAATTATGCATCTTACATTGCTAATAGGAATAGGTCTGCCAAACAGGGTCACCCTGCAACGCGATATTGAATTTCTGATCCAAGGTGCCAAGAGGATGATTTCTGCGAACCTCGGTTTAAAAATAATATAGGAACATATGAGCAATAATGTATCTGACATCATTAGTATAGTCGTTGTTTATACAATAAATTATGTAAATAATTTCACAAACGTTACCTAAAATTCTTCTGTTTCTTTCCCAACCGCTTTTCTCGTTTAAGTTTGGTCTTCAAGTCGAGTGGTCCGTCTTCTGATTCGTCATCCTAAAGCCAATTTGACAATATGAAAGAAAAGAACTAAACTGCACTATTCAATGCAGTGATAACAGACAGTCAGTTGCTAGAAAACTTACAGTAGTTATTGTCATCTGATATTCTCCACTAATTGTGTGAAGCAAAATAGTAATTTTAAAATCCAAAGACTATCAAAAGTTATGCCAAAATTTTACCTCATAACAAATCTGATGATAAATGCCGTCAAAAACCATGACCGATTTCCTTGTCAAGTCAGCACTATTCAAACCATCACTATTATTCGTTTGAACTAAAGTGAACAGAGGGACTAGCCACAAGTCGAACTTTCCATTACAGATTTCGCACTGAACAACTCTTCCATCATCCTCGCTGACAGGTGCAGAGAGAGGCTGTAAACTCCTCCTCAAAATATTTTTCTTAATTCCTTCACGCGTTAACTCAGCTTCTCAGTCTGGTTTCATTAATTACTATTTTAATTTAATTACTTGATTTTCTCCTGTTAATCTGAAGCGGCACAGCTATCTGTCTGACGTACAAAGAGTATTAATACCCTTCTCAAAAATCACCCTTCAGCATTCGAACTAACTTACAGTGAAATTTTTGTAACTGGAAACTCCCTATTTTCAAAACTTGGTAGAGTCGGAATGTTTTTAAATTTAAGGTTGAATGAACAACGTTTGTACAAAGGTACATGGATAATTCGTAATTCCAAAAAACATTTCCTGCGTGCTCTTATTATAAACACATCAGGTTTCAACGCACAACTCCTCCAAGAAAAAATTTCACGGTGCATCGCTATTCTCTCTAGCTAATAAATACCTAGGAAGGGCAGGGTGAGGCATTTAGACAGTTTAAGGCGTCATGATATTTGAGACCCCCCGCAGTGTCAGACCAATCTCGCACTTTTTGTCTGCTAAAGATACCTCGCGCTCATCATGAACGATGTTTCATGAGTTGGTACTTCTTATATCGTACCATCAAAATATCAAATTATGCTCGTGCAACGTACTGCATACTTCGGTGTACCTATATTCTGATGATTCAAAATGTGGCTGTCAGTAATTCAAATAACATTAATGAAACAATGTTCTTGAAATTATGAGCTTTTTGATGGGTACCTCTGCTATTTCTAATGTTAATCAGGCAAAAAACGACTGATTTTTGCAGCTACCTTGAGCAAATGTACAATACAACACCGTGAATCAGAGCTCGTCTTTTATTATGGTGCTAGACGGCAAATGCATTTTGGAAACGTTACCGATCCTACATTCGACAGATTCAGCACGGAGAAGCACTCAGTTCACTGATTTCGGGTTTTAAGTCCAAGTATGTATGTTTCTTGTACTTCTTATTTTTACTTAATTTATCAGAGCTCAATCTTCTTGTAATTATCGAATTAACTACAATTCACCGTCGTTCAAATTCAACTGAAGCCCCGTTGGTCAACCAGTTGGAGACCACTTATCATTTTGGGTCAGGGAGGTAGAGTCCTCCCAGCAGACTGTACCCCTAACGTTCCAGATCATATGCCAGTCACTGAGTTGCAGCAGAAGATAAATCAAGTCTAGAGCAGAGTCCAGCCAAACACTTACCCCAGGTCATTCTTGTCCCTCATTGAGATTTTCAGCCGATCGATGTAGCTCCTTTGCATTCCTTTCTGGAATCATTCGCAAAACGTACCCAAGCCATCGCAGCTGTGCCTTTTCAATCAGGAGAAGTGGTTGCTGTAAATCAACGCTCTCTCAGATATTTAAACTTTTGACCATGTCACGACGCGTTAGCTCAACGACCCATCTCAGAAAGCCTGTACCAGGGATCAAAGTTTTCCAGTCATGGACCACGATTCATGACCGTAGGTAAGCGTGGGAATGAAGATCGACTTGAACACTGAAGGCCTAGTCTTAAAACTCAGCTCTTGTCACAACGGTTAAGGCTAGTTAACGCAGAAGGCCATTGGGGATGCTGATCCGTCAGTTGATCCCTTCCCACCGTTTTCTGTCAGCAGTAAACACGACCCTGAGGCACGTGAACGTCATCACCTGCTCACTGCTTCTTCGACTACCTGAAGAGAGCAACGAGAGCAATGGCATGAGAACTAGAAAGAACTATGCTTTTCGATTTAGAAAAGTAAGCTCGTTTCTATGCAATGTATTTAGCAGCACCACTACTGTAACATAATAAAATAGATGTAAATAAAATAACACACTAGGTAAAACAAACAAAATAAAAGATACATTTGGAAATACCAACAAAAACAAAATAAAACCGTTACCATTCCAATTTTTTCGAATGAGCAGCTGTTCAAAGATGGCTGTGCGTGCATAGTATTGAAAGCGGTCGAATTGATCAGCGTCACAGGCTCGATCAAAGTTTTCTTCGACGCGATGCACGACTTGGACGAATTTCTAAAAAAACGTCGACGATGCATTGGTTGGTATCTGGTCAGTTATGAAGCGGATACCAATTAATAAATCAAAAGTGAAATTTTATTGGTTGAGACAATGTGACCAGCAATCGATGCACAGAAAATTTACAGCTACTTAGAAATATACCATTTTTAAAAATAGATACCATTCAGCTTATGGATAATACACACTCATGCCTGATTCTATAATCTGACATATGTGCCCAAAAATAGAAATGTATATTCAAGATGCCTGAAAAATAACCTACTCGAAGCTTTTCAACGTTGACACTAGTCTCCGCCAAGGCTGCTTCCTGTCCCCTCTCGTGTTTGTGTTGCACATGACGAGAAGGTTGTTGTTTGCAGTCGACATTGTTTCATTGGCATCTTATGAAACTGATCTACAGTGATCCATAGAAAGCTTCACATTCGAGTGCGACGTGACCAGCATGCGTATGAATG